GGGAAAACTGTATAACTGCAAGCAAAAGTATGAAACTGGACTCCTGTCTTTCAGCATATACAAAAATTAAAAATTAACTCAAAATGGATTAAAGATTTGAACATAAGACCTAAACCCATAAATCTGGAAGAAAATGTGTGGTAAGGTCCTTGGTAATATATCTTGGTGATGATTTTTTGAATCTGACACAAAAGCAAAAGCAACAAAAGCAAAAATAAGTGGGACTACATCAAACTGAAAAGCTTCTTACAGCAAAGCAAGGAAACCATCAGCAAAATGAAAGGCATCTACTGAATGGGAGGAAATATTTATAAATCATCTATCCAATAAGAGGTTAATATCCAAAATATTTAAATAATCAAAAAAATATTTAAATAATCATATAACTCAGTAGAAAACAAAATAAAAATGGACAGAAATTCTAAGACATTTTTCTAAAGAAGACATATGGATAACCCACAAGTATGTAAAAGATACTCAACATCATTAATCATAAGGGAAATACAAAGCAAAACCACAGTGAGGTAACCTCACCTGTTAAAATAGCTATTATCAAAAAGACAAGGAGTGACACATATTGGTAAAGATGTAGAGAAAAGGGAATGCTGTACCACTGTTGGTGGAAATGTAAATTTCTTATAGTCACTATGGAAAACAGTATAGAGGTTTCTAAAAAATTTAAGAATGGGGGCAGCCCGGGTGGCTCAGTGGTTTAAGCACCCCCAGGGCATGATCCTGGAGACCCAGAATCGAGTCCCACATCAAGCTCCCTGCATGGAGCCTGCTTCTCCCTCTGCCTGTGTCTGTGCCCCTCTCTGTGTCTCTCATGAATAAATAAATAAAATCTTTAAAAAAATGTATAAAAAAAATTAAAGAATGGAACTACTATATGACCCAGCAATTCTGTTTATCTGAAGACAGTAAAAACATTAACTCAAAAAGTGTATGCACCCCCATGTTCATAGCAGCATATATAATAACCAAGATATGGAAATAACCTAAGTTTTCACTGATGGATGAATAAAGAAAATGTTGTGTGTATATATACATATACATAATGTGTGTATATATACATATACATAATGGAGTATTGTTCAGTCATAAAAAAGAAGGAAATCTTGCCATTTGCAAAAATATTGATGGATGTTGAGGGCATTATGCTAAGTGAAATAAATCAGAGGAAGACAAATATGTATGATATCACTCACTTGATCATTAAAAAAAGTTCATGGGGATCCCTGGGTGGCGCAGCGGTTTGGCGCCTGCCTTTGGCCCAGGGCGCGATCCTGGAGACCCGGGATCGAATCCCACATCGGGCTCCCGGTGCATGGAGCCTGCTTCTCCCTCTGCCTGTGTCTCTGCCTATCTCTCTCTTTCTCTCTGTGTGACTATCATAAATTAAAAAAAAAAAAAAAAAGTTCATGGATACTGAGAACAGATAGGGGGTTGCCAGAGGTGGGATGGGGGGTGGGAGAGTGATCTGAGGTCAAAAACTACAAACTTACACTTATAAAATGGGGGGAATACAGCATGGTGACTATAGTTACTAGTACTGTGTTTTGTATTTGAAAGTTCCTAATGGAACAGATCTTAAAAATTCTCATCATAAGAAAACATACTTTTTTGTAAGTATATATGATGATGGATATTAATTAACCAGGCTTATTGTTGTGATCATTTCACAGTATATATAAATATCAAATCATTATGTTATAAACCTGAAACTATTATGTCATATTATATGTTGTGATTATACTTCAATATAAAAAGTCACTCATAATTTAATGAAATTTATAAATATTTTACAACAGATTTACTAAAAGGCCTTAAGAGATCTTATTAAATAATTAGTCATTAACACTTAATTATTTTCTCAAACTTAGGAGGAAATAGTTTGTCATACAATCTTAGCCCAAACATCTCTTTACAGTTAAAAGATTGCATTATTTAAGGAACAGACTCTAGTGATGGCTAAATTATTTTTAATAAGTGTTTAAAACTATTGGATTTACTACTTGATCTTCCTATCACCTAAAGCTGTTTTGATTAGACTGTAGCTTCAATGGAAAGTCTTCCAAAGGGGCTGGAGTGGGGGTAGGGAGAGGGGAGAAGAGGAGGAAGAGGGAGGAGGAGCTTTCAACCACAGGAGTAGAGTAATGAGAAAGCAGGTCATAGGAAGAAGAGTCCAGTCCAACACTGGACTCAAATTGTACCTGTAGCTCTTTGACCTCTTTGACTGCAAGCAGGATGAGGCCTAGAAGCTGATACTCTGCTTTTCCTTTGAGCAGTGCTCTTTTCAGCTGCTCTGGTGGCAGCTGTTATGGAGGACATAGTGGCTCCCAGTGGAGTGTCATAGTAGCTACTCTTGTCACTGCTGGCTTGGTATTACTCTTTGTGCTACCTCTAGAGGACAACTCATAGCCCATGTCTGCATTGAGCCTGTAGAATGTATTTCATCCTTGGCTCTCTGCAAGAAATAACTATTTGTTTGAGGTGCTTATTTAAGGATCTTTAATATTATACTCTGTGGAGTTATAAAACTAGTAGTAAGGTTCAAAGCATAATATTCCTGGCTACCATTTAGTTTTATTTGACATCTAGATATACGGACTTGTTTTGGTTTAGATGGACACTTCAGTCCTCAGGATTCCTTCCCAGTGTGTTTCAATTCACTGAAACAGATCCATCACCATACCCTCCTTCCCGCATCTAAGGGACTTGGCATCAGCCAAATATTTTGACTTTTTCCTTGAGGCAGAAGTCACAGACTTTTGGTCTTTGAGCCAAAGTGTGTTTTACTAGATTGATAAAGTAAAAGACTTTTTAAAAAATAAACATGGAAAAATTGGAAATTTTTTTTAAAGTAGTTTTTACCCTACAGCTTGGTTACACTTAGTCACTTCTTTTTTTTTTTTTTAAGATTTATTTATTTATTTTTATTTATGATAGACAGAGAAAGAGGCAGAGACACAGGAGGAGGGAGAAGCAGCCTCCATGCCAGGAGCCCGACATGGGACTCAATCCTGGGTCTCCAGGATCAGGCCCTGGGCCGAAGGCAGGCGCCAAACCGCTGAACCACCCAGGGATCCCCAAAATTGGAAATTTTATGTTAATACATGGATTTCTGGCTTTTCTTGGAGAATCAAAAGATGTGGCAACACTGAACTCAAATTGTAACTGTAGCTAGAGCTGAGTAGTGGCTGTATTTTTTATTTTTTATTTTTTTAGTCATTTTTTTTGGAAGATTTTATTTATTTATTCATTCATGAGAGACACACAGAGAGAGGCAGAGACATAAGCAGAGGGAGCAGTAGGCTCCATGCAGGGAGTCCGATGTGGGACCCGATCCCCGGACTCCAGGATCATGCCCTGAGCCAAAGGCAGATGCTCAACCACTGAGCCACCTGGTGTCCCAATGGCTGTACTTTTTAGACTGACACATATTCTGCTTACCAAGTCCCCACTCAGCCTAGCTTTTGAATTTGTAATCCTTGGAGTACTACATGTATTAAAATGAGTCATAAATATGGTTTTATAATTTTTAGAGTAAGTTTACTATCAAACTCTTAATAATTCTCCCTGAAATAACAGATGTAAAACTTATTCCAAATACAGGGTGTAGGTAGATTAAATTGTTACTATTCTTCTGTAATTAGTTCTCAAAAACAGAAACTTAGTGCTTCCCTTAGTTTGAGCCAAAGAATGCACATACCACAGCAGACACAAATTAAAGAATGAGTAGAAGGTACAAGTCTGTACTCATGGATTTCTGAAAAAGCATGTTTGGAAAAAATTTGTAAGTTAAAAAAAGAAGGAAAAAAAAAAAAAGAAGGAGCCTGCATTATAGGTTCAGTCATACCTTAAGTAAATTCAGTGTGTAAAAAAGACTCCTAGAAAATGAGCAGCACAAAACAAGGAGCTGTATTTAAATTTTAAAAAGCCCTTTTATTTGGCTATTTTTTTAAATTAAAGTATAATTAATATACTGTGTTACATTAGTTCAGGTATATGATATGATTCAGCAATTCTATACATTAATGCTCATCATGGTAAGTGTATTCTTAATCCCCTAGGTTTCACTCATTCCCGCCCCCCCCCCCCATTTTCTCTGGCAACCACCAATTTGTTCTCTTTATTAAAGAGTCTTTTTTTGGGTTTGTCTCTTTTTATTTATTTGTTTGTTTTGTTTCTTAAATTTCACATGAGTAAAATTACTAAATTCTACATTCAGATGAAATCATATGACAGTTGTCTTTCTCCATCTGACTTATTTCATTTACCACTATATGCTATAGGTTTCATCCATGTTGTTGCAAATGGCAAGATCTCATTCTTTTTGTGGCTGAGTAATATTCCATTTTGTGTGTGTCCTCTTTATCCATTCATGTATCACCGGACACTTGGGTTGCTTTCATACTTTGGCTATTGTAAGTAATGCTACAATAAACATAGGGATGCATATAATCTTTTCAAATTAATTTTTTTCATTTTCTTTGATTAAATACCCAATAGTGGGATTACTAGATCATATGGTAATTGTATTTTTAATTTCTTGAGGACTATTTAGTTAGTCCCACTAAACTTGAATTTGAAAGGTTTTTTTTTGGCAGATAATCAGTATTAGGAATAAAGTTAATCACCTTCTTGAATGCCCACATGCTCAGACCCTGACCTCCCTCTGTCTCCATGGTAGGAGGTTTTGTCTTATAGGATACTCCTTACTTTTCTCACATTCCAGGTTCTACTCTGAGCCAACACATCATCATTTCCCACTAAACACTTTTCTTGGTTTCTTCTTGAAGAAGGAAAGGGAGGAACAGGAGGTTGAAGAGTATATCCATTTTTTTAAGCAAAATTCCATTTAAAATTTTTTTCTTATTGCTATAAAATGTAAATATACAGCATATTGACTTTTAAAAATTTCCCCTGTAAGATTTTATTATATCTTTCATACCTTTATATTGAATTATATGCTTATAAATCTCTCCTCTTTTTTTTAGGCTTCTCCAAAAAATATGGAATCCTTTGCATCTATGTTGAGACATTCTCCTCTTACTCAGATGGGACCTGCCAAGGATAAACTAGTCATTGGACGAATCTTCCATATTGTAGAAAATGATCTTTATATAGATTTTGGTGGCAAGTTTCATTGTGTATGTAGAAGACCAGAAGTGAATGGAGAGTAAGTAGAATCATTTCCAAGTGTTTTAAGAGTACTGATAAAAGTTAAGATACCTCAAAGTATTATTGAATTTTAATTGGTGATTTGCTAAAAGACAGAAAATATGCTTTATTTCTCTTCATTATGCTAATTAGGGAAGTTAGGCTGGATTCGCGTCATGTCATTTTAGTCACATTAGGCTAGATTCATATCTTCTCAAAGCAGTGAGAGCACTTTTGGGGAGATTTTGATGTTCATCTTGGTAATCAGCTATTCCCCACTGTAAAATTAAAACTAGCTTTATAGTAATATATGCTATTAAGGCCATTTTATAACTTTTTTTTGGTCTCCTGTTTTACAGTCTTCTGCTTCTCAGAGAAGCCTCCCTTTCTACTTCTTCATTCTCCTTTCCTCTCCCACTATCAAATTCTGATACTTTATTATCTTCTTTTCTTATTTTGCACTACTTTCAGAATTATAATTTTTCTTATTATAGAACAGTATTCATTCTGTTTATAGCCAATAAGTAAAGATATTTGTGAATATAAATATGCACTGGGGAAACCATTAAGGTGGAAGATCTAGGAGTAGAATATCAGGAGAAAGGAGATGTGGAAATAAGATTCTGGGATTGGAAAACAATAGTAAGCAATATAGAAATGATTTTTCCCATAAGTTTTTAATATGCACACTTTTAAAATTTCAGTATTTCTAGTACCAGGATGCATCTTAGATGCATTCAAGGATGCATCTTGAATGTCAATTCAATTGGCAGTGTTTTTTTTTTTTATTCTTAATAGTACATAATGGTGAATCTAGTACACAGTGGCGTCTTAGGATGAAATTACAGTGATTAAGAAGTTTGTGATGTTTAAGAATGAATCATATTGTAGAAATGAATAGGGTAAGAGTAACTCTAGATCTAAGTGAGCAGTTATGAAAATTGGTTGCCTCTCTCCTGAGAGCTCTGGATATCTAGAGGTCCAAATGATTAGGAGACATGAACTCATTCTACCTGAATCTGAATTAGATCGGACAAACTTAGTATAAATTTCCTCAGATCAGTGGTATTCAATAAAAAAAGTCCCAGATTGCCAATGTCTGTGGTCTAAAACACTCTCACCATGGCCAATCTTAAGTTTCCAATGTAATGTTAATCAAATGCAGAGTTGGGAATATATATATACATACTCAGCTCCCATAAGGTGGCGTAGTCTGGCTCCAGCACACCTCTACCTCAGATAATCAGAAGCTAAACGGTGTCTTGCAAGGTAGGTGCCATGAACCAAGTGATACCTGGAGGAGCAAATGGGCTTCTTATGCTGCCTGGCACTGAGAGGTAATAGCTCGAGATAGCTGTCTTGTTATATCAAATAACATACATGCTTAATCAAAAGTAGTAAGACCTCAAGAAATTTCTAAGTAGGATAAGTCTGTCAATCTAGATATTAATACTATCTATTGTGTAATGGGTCATTGAAGGGATTAAATCAGATAATGTATGTAAAGATTTAGAACAGTGATTGATATATGATAAACATGTACTGTTATTACTATTCTTGAAATTGTAGTGATTTGTATTTTTTGTGAACCAATTATAACATTCCTCAAGAGTTCCTATCAATGAGGGTTTATGCAGGAGGCAAGTATGAAGATATGCAGTCCCAAAGTTATCCTTTAAAAGAGGCATCCTAAGCTCTTGGATACTGTCAGTAGTATCTGTGGCAGATCATTTTTCATTAATAGAGAATATATCAGTAATTTAAAAATGAAGTACTGTTTTATTTTATACAAGAAATCTTCTCAGGTGCAGTAGCCATCTTTATTCTCACGAGCTGACCTCTCTTACAGCCAGAACATCAGGTATTAACTTTACAAAAAAATGTATTTTACAGATAACACTGCTGAATTATGGATATTTCACCTGCTTAGTCAGATTTATTATAAGTTACAAGTATAGTAAACACAGTTCCTTATATTTTTGAATGGCAATTTTTTATGATATTTCTTTTTTTCTTTTTAAACATTTATTTATTCATGAGAGACACAGCAAGAGACATGGGCAGAAGGAGAAGCAGGCTCCCTATGGGGAGCCCGATGCAGAACTTGATCCCAGGACCCTGGGATCACACCCTGAGCCAAAGGCAGACTCTCAGCCACCAAGCCACCCAGGTGCCCCTCTTTGTGGGTATTATTTTATGTATACTGTTCTTTTTTCTCATTTCATTAAATTTTTAAAGCATTAATTTTGTCATTATGTTATATTTTTGAGCATAATATTACAGAATGTCTTAGAGACTAGAAGTTCTGATTTGATTCTCAGGCCTTACTGCATCACAGAATTTTAAGTATCAGTATTTGTGACTAGATATTTCTCTAGTAACTGTCATAATATGGTTTGAGTTTATTTTATGTACAGTATAGCTTTAAATGATTAAATACTAGAATTTGTTGCAACATTTATTAAGTCTTAATTTTTCATTGAAAACTATGCACATACCATAGAAGCACATACCATAGAAGCACATATTCTGTTACAGAAATTACTGTATGGTTGAAGCTCTTATCTTCACATATATTCCTGCCAGTGAAACAGTCTATTTAACAGAAGTTTTTGGGGTGAGACTGATGGCTTATAATAATTTTGCAAGGAAATTGTCTAGTCTGTGGAGCAGTCACTGTATTAGAGTCTTTTTTTAAATGTATTTAGTAGAGTTAAATGCCTGCATCTTTTTTTTTCTTTTTGTAGTTATCTGCAATAGTTATTTTTCAACTCCTGCTTCTGAGTGTCCCGTATCCAATTACTCTTACCAGAAATTTTCACTTCAACTTCCAAATCACTCACAAAATCAATATATTCATGACTGAGGATCATGAAGAGGGGGGGAATCATGCTGGTGCAGAATTTGATTTGTTCATTTGTTCATCCATTCATTCATTCAGCAAATATTTACTGGACCTCCTCAGTTTGGCAGGCACTGTTGTAAGGGCTGGTAAACTATCCAGACTAGCTCTCTGTCTGCCTTCATGAAGTTGGGCAACAACTTCTACTGGAGAAAGAATGTATAGTAAACAAGTACAGAAATCAGTTTTTAAAATTGGTAATTACATGAGTAAAAAAGGGCTAATATGGTGACAAAATGTCCGGCAGGTAGAAGATAATAGTAGTTAGGAAAGGGCTTTGACTTCTATTGCTGAAAGTCTGAAAATACTCTGAGTGCCTTTTTTTTTTTTTTTCTTTTAATGATAAGCAAGAGTCAAAGCTTAAATTCTATTCCTCTCTTGTCCTACAGACTGGTAATGTTATTTCTAATAATGTGCTAAGGAGAGTAGTTCACCTTAGCCAAGATTTGACCCATGACAAACCATAAGAGACTCTCTTTTTAAAAAATTTTTATTTATTTATTCATGAGAAACACACAGAGAGAGAGAGGCAGAGGGAGAAACAGGCTCCATGCAGGGAGCCTGATGTGGGACTGGGTTCCAGGACTCCAGGATTACACCCTGGGCGGAAGGCAGGTGCTAAACCGCTGAGCCACCTGGGAATCCCCACCGTAAGAGACTCTTAACCATATGAAACAAACCGAGGGTTGCTGGAGCAGCAGAATGGGGTAATTTGGTGATAGGCATTAAGGAGGGCGGGTGAGGTAATGAGCACTGGGTGTTACATGCAATTGATAAATTACTGAACTCTACATCTGAAACTAAAGATGTACTACTATATGTTAGCTAATTGAATTTAAATTTAAGAAAAAGAAGGAAAGTAGGGGATATTTTCCCCACTTTCCAAGTGAAGAAAGTGAGTCTCCATGCATAATGTATTGCATGTATTACAGTGACACAACTGGTAATTAAGGCAGGGATTCAAACTTTAGGCTGTGTGTGTCATACACAGCCCATGAATGTTCTTTTCAACTCTACTATGCTGCTCTCTAGATCCCGCAGCATGTAGTTACTTAGTATCATAAGACCCTCCTAAAAGGATCTCACATAGGAGCCAGTTTTTATACCAGCAACCCTGAAAACAGTGTGATAGTAAAGCTCTATGGAGGCCTGTTAAAGAATGGTAGGTAGCCTGTTAAGATATTAATCTTTGGTTATGGTATCCATAGTCTAATATGTTTGGATAGTGTTACCACTAATAAGCTAATGACCAGTGGGTCCAGGCTTTGTTTCAGAATGGATGTGTAACAATTATGGTGAGACTTGTAGTTACAGGAGCTGATTAACTTCTAACAATGAGTTGTAGCTTAGAGTCATCTGGCCTCGTGTTATATGAGAAGGCTTTATTTCAAGAAAAGTTTATTTTGCAAATTGTAGAAAGTTGACTCTATATATGTAATACTCAATTTTTAATTCTTTGATTCTTTTTATAAAATATGTCATCTACTTTCCTTGAACTTTGTCAGACCAAAATGGTTTAACCTGTTTTTTTGGTCTTTGTTTTTGATGAACCAAGGTCATAATTACAAACATTAATGTCTGTGGTGTATCATAATCCAAATATATAGAATTATTACTCCTTAGCTGTACAACCCCTCTAATTCTGTAGTTTTTGTGTTTCACCTTTAGATGTCATCATTCTTTCTCTGCTGTTGTACTTATGTATGGATTTTTAGCTTTCTTGAAATTTTAATTTTCTTTTTCTAATATTCTGATGCCCAGAAAATTGGTCACCGAATTTGTTGTGCTTAAAATAAGATAATAATAATAGTAGTGTTTGTGAGTAATGACCTCTCAGCCTCTTCTATAAGTAAAGTGTATGTACTTTAATATATGGACTTCAACATGTATTTTAACAGCTCCTAAACTCGTTTGCTTAGTTCTCATTGGGTTCTTTGGAGACTTGATGTCACCAGATAACTAACTTCCTGATAAGTATAACTAGGTAGGGGTCTTGCCTGCATTGACTGCCTGTTCACTGATGCCTTTGGTAGGGATTGTCACATCTCAGGACAGTGTTTGTTGAGCCAGTCAGTGTGCCATTATCTTGCACATGAGTATTTATTGTGGTTGAGAGT